CACTAAAGCCTTGTATGACCGCTGCAACCGCTGCCGCGTGCTCGTCCATAGCACACAAGCTGTCTCCGCTCTCTCTTCCGCCGTGCTCTATCATGTCTACACACGCTAAATAGGATCCCCTACTAAATTGGAAGAAGCCAAAGAAGTTGTGACCACGGCCGAAGGGAAGCGTGTCTAATACTGGACCGTGCCTTTAAGTTAGGTTTGTCTAAGTTGTCAGCAGCAGGTGTTGGTCGATATTCTCGCAAAGGCCCAGAGGCGCGCTAATTTAAAAAATTGAATTTGAGTCATAAACAACTAAAACCCACCTTTAGTGTTCGTATTTTTGGTCCATCAAGAGTCAGCACGCGGCCGTCAATGGCAGCTTCGACGCGTTCCTTCTTCAGATTAACAGACCCTAAACATAACTGTTCAATTCGATGCGCAATCTTTGACCACAGAATACTTACCTAGTACCTCATAGGCATCAAGCTGTACCACGCATGGTGCCACGTAACTCAAATGAACGGGCGCAAAATCTTTGTCCTGGTAGCCTGAGGCCTGAAATGGCTGGTAGAACAATAATTCTGAGCGAAAATCCGGAACTTTTGAATTCTGTCGAAGAAGACTTCTTGCCTAATCCATAATAATCAATAGGCGCCACAACATGCCCGTTTTTGAAAGCAAGCATTCTAGCAGCTCGAATTTCCCTACCGAGAAAGTGAAGGCAAATTGATGTTCCATCGATGCTCATTCCTTGGCAAAATTGCTTATTGACCGATTTACCGCACGAAATGAATTAGACAGTATAATATCACTTTGGTCAGTTCGCTTAAAGGCAAACCCCGGGATTAGCCCGACTAGTAGGAAGGATACCGCGAGGGAAATTGTAAGGTCCGTACCTACCTAGATCACTCCAGCTTCGTCGCAAAAATTGCGCGGTTAGGGCGCTAATCCTTACGGGCCTGCAACCATCGAACCAACGCTTCCCACCCACCGCGAGATGTGGTGAGATCAGCGTGCATTGATGTAGAGATCAGCGTGCTCTCTCAAACGACGTGCTCTCTCGCGCGTTTTGTCTTCTTTGATCGCCCTGTCTCGCCATCGTACCACATCCGACCTTATTGAAGGTTAAGGGCCTTAATTTCAGCGTTCCCAAAGATTTCTCTTGCTTTCCTTCCACTTTCAGGTCGTTCCGCAGCTAAGCTATCACTACGAAGCGCTCTTAGCACCAGTTTAATCCCGGGTTTGCCTTTAAGACATTTCCAACGTTCACTTGTGTAATATTCAATTAAGACATGTCTTGATCAGGTTCTTATAAACTTCTTCCTGAGTGAGGTAGCAGGGCCATCCCATAAAAGCTGTGATACGTTTACGGAACTTGCAGATAGCAGAGCGAATGTTCGTTTGACCACTGCAACGCATTGCCTACTCCTCCTATCAATCGCAGCATACGTAGTGTCTGCACCCTCTCGTATACGACGAGCTCACTCCCCTTTTCCACTCCTCGCAGCCCTCCGTCTATCGTACTACGGGGCGTGGCGTCATATGGCGCGATCCATGGCATTGGAGCGCACAGACCGTAATTACCACGTTCTGCTGTGGCCGGACAACTCGTCCGCGCAACACATTCTGTTCCGTTCATCTTGCCTTCGCATCAGGCCAACGAAGCTACCCACTCTTTTTTAAATCTTTGGGACTCACGAGCTTGAGGGTCCCATTTCACATCGCATCATTGCAGAAACTCTAGCCGGTGGTGTTGATATCGTGCCATATGACGCCTCCCGTACTACGCCTAGCTACGAAAAAAAGCTTCAGTTTCTTATGGTGTTTTGAGCTCTTTAGTAATTCAAGCGGACAGAGCGGCCCGGTGTTCTTTGAGGAACACCCATAGTCTTGATGGCTCCAATTCAAACCGTTCATACAACTCCAAAACTCTGACAGAACTACCACAAAAACTAGTCCTTTTCCTCATAAAAAGTTATGTAATAGCGAGTCACAAAGGTCAGACCTGTTCGTACGGCAGCCAGCAATATTCGAAACCAGCAGCCGTGGCTGGCAGTTCGACGAGCATTTGCATAGAGCCAACAATGTGTCCAGTGAACTCATGGCCAGCACTGAAAACGGCGCCAGGTACGTAAAAAAAACTATACAACTCGAATGAGTCTATAAGGAAACAACGACAGAGGTGTAAACACACTCAACAAACGAGGCGTCAATCCTGCCGTTGCTGTTCCAAGCTCGGCCCATGCACGGCTTGCCGTGCCGATACCAAAGTGCGATAAACTGTTCTTGCGGGCCATGCGGAGTGTTGAGGGGGCGCGGTTCAGTGCTTTCATTATCGGCCTGGAATGAAAATTTTAAAAAAATGCAGCCCTTCATCAGACGGGCGACAGTGAAAGACTGGCTCGTCAGAATCGTCTGCAGCTCAACGTCTCACTTCAGCCACTCTAATTATTAGACTTGAGTCATAAGTAATTGCCGATTTCTTCAGACCACGCCATTTCTTCCCAGAAAAACGTTTGTGTTGTTCCCGCAGAGCAGTATGTGGCGACCCAAGTGTCCTTTCATATTACGAAATTTTACGGATATTGTTGTTGTTTCTTCTGTGCCATACAGGTTAATATGGTGGAACACGTTCATTGGTCAACGTTTGGACAATACGTCGTCTTTAGGACCTGAAACTGGTTCGAAGTCCTAGCTTCTCAGCTCACAGTCTATTTCACGAGTTCCGCCTGGGGCCCTCAGCAGGAGGAGCCTGTCGGAATATAAGTGAATCTGGAGGACCAGACTCACTAAAAGAGAACATCTCTTAAGAGTGGTTCGGTAACCTTCGTCAAGGCGAATACGGCCCTGAAGACCAAACACGTTTCGGACACCTAAAACTATTGAACGCATGCAAGACCTTCTTGAAGGCAACCCAATATCAGTATCCGTCAAACTGCAGCAGACCTTCAGTCCTCCCGGTGCACCATGAATCTCCCTCTGAGCCATGGATAAATTGTACACGCTGGGAAGATGGAATCTCACGAGTTGGACGAAATGGTTCAGAAGGACACGTGTGATCATCTCACGAAGTTTGTTGCATAGAAGCTGTTGTTTCGATCGGCTTCACAAGGGATCACTGAGGAGCGCGCAGTCTAACCAAGCAATCTACGAGCATTCGTTTTGAACGTGCAGTCTCAGCTAGCAACAACGAACCGCGCAATAGGTGACACTTCACGGAGTAGGATTCCGCTCCCGACTTAAGATTGCTCATCAACCGTACTTCAAACAATACACAGCCACTGCTGGCGCATCTGGATAACTGCTTATGATAGCACAATTAAGGGCTTCCATTAGATGAATTTTCTCATTGCGCCCGTCAGCTGGCAATCCACGGTATCGACAGAAGTGCCAAATGCTAAGACAGAATACTTTCGCCTATAATGCTCTTTCTAGTTGAACTCCGAGGTACAGCAACCAATTCACCAGTTATTACGATAACTTGCTCGTTCTCCTTAAAGCAACAGTTCAGGGAGGGTCCGAAAATTTCAATGCCACTACTACTGAGGGATACACGAGCCCTAGTGAAGAACATATGCAGTGGAAATAATAAACGAACTTACCTCAGAAACTCAAAAACAGGGTGGAAAGTCCCTCAAACATGGGTGTTCTTGGGGATTTCCCCAATCCCGCCCCCTTGCCGGCCGTCATTGGACGCGTCGGCAATCGTGCTCGTTTTGGGACCACAGGGAAAATTGATTGAAAAATGGAGCGCGTAAGCGTAGATAACCTGGATTCGTGCGGTGCGAACGAAGTAGTGACCTTTACTGTGCGTGAAAGACAAGCCGGAACTTATAAGGTTTATTGAAATGTTGAAAATAATGAACAGAATGTTTGGAAAGATCACTGGAATCGGAGACACGGAGGCGAGTCGTTGTTGGCAAACTCAAGGATCGAATACAAGACCACAGTCGGGTACACGGCGCGAACTATTCTTAAGAACAAGCCACAAAGGCTTCCTACGTTGAGCCACTGAGGCTCTTTCAACTCACTGCCACTAAGGTTTCTGATAACTAGCCACTTAGGCTCAACTCTCTCAGCCACTTAGGCTCAACTTCCCTCCTAGCCACTAAGCTATCTCTCGCTCTCCTCTATCGAGCTTTGGCCCTCCTTCTTACGGGCCCCTGCGGCTCCTAACCGCACTTACCACTCTGGCTCCTGAACCCCTTTTATAGGTGCATTCCCGCCCGAACCGTTTCCCTCTGGCAAGGTGGTCTCCTATGACCCCGCGCGATCGACAACCACAGCCTCCTCCTCGACCTACCGTGCTCAAACCAGCTGATCATAGCTGGCGTCTCAAGGCAGGCATGCCTTTCCCTAAATGGAGCGCGTTTACAGCGGGCACGTTCAGACAACTCGTCCAACGTGCGTCTTTATCCATTGCTGAGCGGCAGAGGGAGAGTACCTGTCTAAGACCCTCCCCGACGTTTTTTTCCAGTTTTTCATACATTAATCGTCTGGTTTTCATCTACAACTTCATTATTGGTGGTTTTTTCCCGCGAAACCGTTCCTGAACTGTTGCTTTAAAAAACTACGATGATGGCGACCACCTCAAAACAGACATCCACTGATTCTTGACGTCGAAGGTTGCGTAGTTTTGTGGGAGAGGTATCCATTCACTTGCGGATAGATAGAGGACACTTGTAGACAGTTGTGGTAAATAGGGCACTTAACCAAGGTGGTTCAAAAGAAAGTTGTGAACTTTTGAAAATTTTGTCAAATCGGCAATTACTTATGACTCAGCCTAATATGATTACTGTTCTAATAAATCTGAATTAGGCCTGTTTTGGTGGTATTTATTATCGACACCGAGCGCGAGAAATCTTTACATGTTTACCAATTTGACTCTATGTATTTGTACGCAATTAGCACCAGTTTTTATAAGTCTACCTTGGTTTCCTTCCTCAGAGTTCCATGGAAGTTGAATCCATTCCCCGAGGTGGTTTAAGCAAGTGTGAGTTTTCGCGCGACATTTCGTGATTCGCAACGATTTATTAGTTCCTTGTGTGCATTGAATTAATCATTTCGTTGTTTCGCTCTGTAATT